AGGGAGGGAGCGAGGGAGAGAGTGAGTGAGCGAGTAAATGAGTGAGTGTTCAACGACTTGATGAGCCAGTCAAGTGTCGCATCCCCCGAAGCCTTTTCTTCTCAGCATCCTCAGAACTATGAATGCCTTTGTTGGGCTGCACTCACAAGGTCAGGCTGTTGGTGAGGTGAGGGTAAGGTTCCGCTCAAAGCAAGTAACATCCGCAAAATCAACATGACATAGAAAAGAAGTGATTTTTAAATATTCACAGGGAACAGGTTGGGCTGCACTGACAAGGTAGATAGTTGGTAAGGTTATTGTCTTCCTCATAGCAAGTAACATCCGCAAAATCAACATGATGTGCTACGTTAATATAACCATGTGTGTGTGTGTGTGTGTGTGTGTGTGTGTGTGTGTGTGTGTGTGTGTGTGTGTGTGTGTGTGTGTGTGTGTGTGTGTGTGTGTGTGTGTGTGTGTGTGTGTGTGTGTGTGTGTGTGTGTGTGTGTGTGTGTGTGTGTGTGTGTGTGTGTGTGTGTGTGTGTGTGTGTGTGTGTGTGTGTGTGTGTGTGTGTGTGTGTGTGTGTGTGTGTGTGTGTGTGTGTGTGTGTGTGTGTGTGTGTGTGTGTGTGTGTGTGTGTGTGTGTGTGTGTGTGTGTGTGTGTGTGTGTGTGTGTGTGTGTGTGTGTGTGTGTGTGTGTGTGTGTGTGTGTGTGTGTGTGTGTGTGTGTGTGTGTGTGTGTGTGTGTGTGTGTGTGTGTGTGTGTGTGTGTGTGTGTGTGTGTGTGTGTGTGTGTGTGTGTGTGTGTGTGTGTGTGTGTGTGTGTGTGTGTGTGTGTGTGTGTGTGTGTGTGTGTGTGTGTGTGTGTGTGTGTGTGTGTGTGTGTGTGTGTGTGTTGTGTGTGTGTGTGTGTGTGTGTGTGTGTGTGTGTGTGTGTGTGTGTGTGTGTGTGTGTGTGTGTGTGTGTGTGTGTGTGTGTGTGTGTGTGTGTGTGTGTGTGTGTGTGTGTGTGTGTGTGTGTGTGTGTGTGTGTGTGTGTGTGTGTGTGTGTGTGTGTGTGTGTGTGTGTGTGTGTGTGTGTGTGTGTGTGTGTGTGTGTGTGTGTGTGTGTGTGTGTGTGTGTGTGTGTGTGTGTGTGTGTGTGTGTGTGTGTGTGTGTGTGTGTGTGTGTGTGTGTGTGTGTGTGTGTGTGTGTGTGTGTGTGTGTGTGTGTGTGTGTGTGTGTGTGTGTGTGTGTGTGTGTGTGTGTGTGTGTGTGTGTGTGTGTGTGTGTGTGTGTGTGTGTGTGTGTGTGTGTGTGTGTGTGTGTGTGTGTGTGTGTGTGTGTGTGTGTGTGTGTGTGTGTGTGTGTGTGTGTGTGTGTGTGTGTGTGTGTGTGTGTGTGTGTGTGTGTGTGTGTGTGTGTGTGTGTGTGTGTGTGTGTGTGTGTGTGTGTGTGTGTGTGTGTGTGTGTGTGTGTGTGTGTGTGTGTGTGTGTGTGTGTGTGTGTGTGTGTGTGTGTGTGTGTGTGTGTGTGTGTGTGTGTGTGTGTGTGTGTGTGTGTGTGTGTGTGTCATGTGTGTTGATGAGGCGCAGCCACTGCAAGATACAGTCACTGTGAGATTCAGTCACTGTGGAGTATAGTCACTGTGTGGTATTGTCATTGTGTGACGCATGGTTGGGGCTCACCACTTCACCTGTCATTTGAGTCAACTCAAAAGTTTGAGTCGACTCCATAGTCACTGTGTGGTATCGTCATTGTGTGATACATCATGCATGGTTGGGGCTCACCACTTCACCTGTCATATTGTTGTCGTTTAGCCTCCTGCAGATGTGAAGTCATGAGCACACAGACACGCACACCCGCAACCATACATGTACACACATGAGCGTTCGGCGCACGCGCGCGCGCAGACACACACAAGCGCGTGCGCACACACACACCCAGACACCACAAGCACATGCGCGTGCGTACGCACATACCCACCCACCCAACCCCCCCACCCCCCCATCCCCCCACCCACCCCAACACACACACACACACACACACACACACACACACACACACACACACACACACACAAACACACACACATGCACGTACATTTTCACACGGACACAAAAAGCATATGTAGCATGACATGAAGGCGAGTGCAGTTGAACACATGCATGCAACGCAATCATGCGATGAGGTCATGCATGTACGCACGACAAACACCTCGGCATCAATCAATATACACATCGACAGTTCATGTTCGGTGGCATTTGAGTCGAGTCGACTCAAAAGTAACCTCGAACACCTCGGCATCAATCGATATGCACATATGTATTTCGTGTTTGGTAAACATTCCAGGCAAATAGCCTCAACTCGACTGGAAGCTATCAAAGCGTTTGTAGAGTATACGCTATAGAGGGGATGGGGTGTAGTACTAACAGTTCTTGCAGGTATGGGAAGAAGCGGATGTAGGGGCTTAAGGTGCCGTTAATATGCGGGACAAACGAGGCCAGGATTCTGGGAGAATATTGGATGGGAAATGCGTGGAGAGAGCGGGGAGCAAAGCGTGCGAAGAAGATTAGGTTTTCTGCGCTGGAACCAGGCCGGCCGCCATGGCTTAAGAAAGTGGTGTACGCAGTGGAAGAATCAACTGTCAGCTTGTAATTGCAGGACCAAATGTCAGTCAGTGTGGCATCACAAGTGAGGTAAGTACGGCATTGCTGCAGGGAGAGTTTGTTGATACAGCTATCTATCTTATACCTTAAAAGGAGCTACTCACAATCGAGTCACGTAGCCTTGTGCATTGCATGCAACAGGAGGGAGCAGGCACGGGTCTCCTCCAAAATAGTCCATGCTCCACTTGTCATAATCGAGGTTCTTAAACGCTGGCAGCACGAAGTTGTACAGGTAAGGGCCTGGCGCATTGATTGCACGGGTTCATAGATACGTAAGAGGGTGACTTGGATCACTTTAAATGCCATAGCATGGATTTCCGAAAGACTTTCGGCACGCTGGTGTGCAGTGGAAGTCCTTGTTTGGTAAGAATACATGGAAATGGCGAGAAATAGTAGGATTCAACTTGTGCAAGTTTAGAAATACAAAACTCCTGAGAGACATGTCAGGTTTATTCCGAGTGGAAACGAGAATGGCGAATGAGCAGACCTTCTTGAGTAGCGAAGACGCCTCTGAAAAGAACGAGCAGCGCTGCGACTAGAATGATGCCTTTGCTCCTTCGCGCTGCGACTAGAACACCTTTGCTCCAGACAACCATGCTGTGGTTACCTCTCTACGGAAACTGATGCCGAAACAGATTATTGAATTCCGGATAAGCCGGAGCAGTAAGTGAAGCTTTAACCTACTACAAGTTCGTTTTACCATGACAGCATTCGCGTCATCAGAGACTAGCAGCTACCACTCGTAAGTGCAATGACTAGTGAAAGAACTTGGCACTGTAGACTTGTTGACTTCAGAGCAAACAAAAGCCGAATCCTCGAAGCTCACTAACCAGCTCAAGGCTAAACGGAAACGCGATGATCTCAGCGATCAAAGAAATGAGCGACACGTGGACGCTTCTTGGCCGCTCGCACGCTGGTAAAAAACGACCATTACGAAATGTTCCTGAATCATGCATCTTACCCTACCGTCCTTGCTTCAGGGGAGTTTGCTGGTGGTCACCCTGAGGGATTCACATTACATGGTCTCCATGGTTTCCTGCCTCCGATCAGGCTCAGTCACAACAACTTGAGGATGTTCCCTAGAGGACTCCTCCTGCCTTGATGTCATCGTCCAACAGTTTGGCAGCTCTGGCACTACCACTGTTAATATTTGTCCGTCAAGTTTCAATTGACCTTGAAGGTTGTTCATTCTGGTGCGCAATGGTCCGGGTCGATGATAGTCGAAACCGCTCCTAAACAATTGTGACCGCTTACAACCGCGTTTGACGAATTGTTACAAGGTGGCGGTTGTAAATTTCAGTTCGGTTCGGTGCCTGAAGAGGTGGTGGTTGGCAACTTTCGGCTGGGTGAGAAGAAGTTGACGGTTGACCAATGACCGTGCGCTGCCCGTGGTGCACGTCATTGTCAACGGAACGCACATTCGGTTGTCGGGGGTTGGGTTGGACCGTATAAAAGCCCGACTGTGTGTCAGAGGCGAATTTGTTTTCTACACGGGCGACATGCATCGTTGACAACACCCAGCTCACACGAGCGCGCCTTGAACTGACGAGAGGACAACGAGAACCACCCAGCACCCCCGCCGCACCCCCACGACATCGCGCTCTAGCATCAGTGCATTTGTTCCATGTTCGATGGTTCCCGCATGGAACCGTACTGAAAACTTCTAGAGTCTTAGATTACAGTGTAATACCGACGGACTTGAACACAGTCCGTCTGCCCCCGTCATTCCCACTCAGTGTGAGTAACACGGTTGTTACCCAGTTTTCGTAGCAGGCAATACTCAACAAAAGACCGAGGACGACAATCGTCGTTGACACGCAGTACAGTACCCCCACGAGCGCGCCCTGAACTGACGACCAGACAACGAGAACCACCCAGCACCCCGGCCGCACCCCACCACATCGCACAAGCCTCATCAGTGCATTGCTCCAGGTTCGATGTTTACCGCATTGCATCGTACCGGAAAGATAAAAAGCCTTACAATACCATGTATACCTACGGACTTTGGTACTGTCCGCCTGCAGCTGATCCGCTACCATTAAAGCATCCAGCGTACAAAAATTGATGATAGGTATCTATGTTTTACCATTTTGGAGTTTAGTTCTCTTGTTTGTCGATTTTTCCACAAGTTTATTCCTTATTATTGTTGATGCCGAATGAGGCACAATCATCCGACCGTCTGATCATTGCAGGACCAGAATGTCGCGAGTCTTGTCAGTGATTCGCCGCTGGTTTCGCTCCCGGGAAACCAGCGACAGAATCACCGCAAGTTCAGCCGCGTTTCGCGGCGATGGCGCGTTTGCGAACAACCTCAACATCAGCGTGCGCGTTACCTTCCCCGAAGCTTCGTCTCGCCCGCGACCTCTGCGTCTGATGACGCTTTATCTAATCGGTCTACTATTCACGGTCACGGTAGTTATCCCCGTAACGAATCGGCATGTGATGAATCTTAACGAGTCTCCTGGTTTGCAAACCCTTGACGACAGCCATGGCGGAAGGGTACGGTTGGGTACCGGGCGGAGAATAATCGGGATGGGCGGAGTGGGTGGAGGAGGAGGAGGAGGAGGAGGAGGAGGAGGAGGAGGAGGAGGAGGAGGGGGAAGTGCTGAAAAGGAGGGTGAAATAACGAATGGTACAGTAACGAGTAATGGGGATCAATCAGGAAGTGGCCAGTCGGGAACTCCACCGTCCGTGAATACCAATCGTAATGGTAGTGATAATAGTGAAGGGGAAGGGAGCAAGAGAGAAACGACCCGAGAAAGTGGCGCTACTGCTGAGCTGAGAGCTGAGGATGGCAATTTGCAGGCTGGGATTAACAAGGGGTTCAATGTCGCTGAGAATGAGAGTGTGAGGAAGAGAGAAGAAGAGGTCAGGAAGGAGGAGGAGGAGAGGAGGAAGAAGGAGGAAGAAGCAGAGAAGGAGGAGGACAAGGTGTTTAGATTCGACGATGAGGAGGAAGAGGAGGAGGAAGGGCGGGGAGGCGAGAATCGACACGTAGGGCAGGGAGCTGGGCTGGTAGCAGAATCTTCAGCACAAGGCGTAGCTGTCGTGAATTGTGAGATGTTTTTTTGGGGGGTGGAGGGAGGGGAGGGGGGGGAGGAGGGGGGGAGAAGGGATGGGGACGGGAAGAGGGGTGGAAACGGGGGGGTGGGGGGGAGGGGAGGGATGGGGAGGGGGAGGGGGTTGGAAAGGGGAAAAGGGGGGGAGGGGAAGGGGAAATGAAGCGTTGAGCCTGCAATCCATACCCCAACACCCCTCCTTCCTCTCGCTCCTTCCCCCTTCCCTCCCGTTCCCCCGACCCCACCACCCCCACCTTCGATCTCCCCCACCCCTCCCTCTCCTTGAATCTTTCCACTCCTTCCCTCGCCCGTGCTTGCCAGACCCATCAGCGCGACGTTGTGCTGCACAAACTTCCCTCCCTTCTCATCGTCCCTTGATTGAAGAAGCGTTTTGAGACGTCTCAAAAAACGTCTCAAAACACCTCTTCAAACAGACCCATCAGCGCGACGTGCTGCTGCACAAACTTCCCTCCCTTCTCATCGCCCCCCTCCCTGACCCAACCCCATTCCGTGTTCCCTGTTGACCCGTACCAGACCCATCAGTGGAGAGAGTGCGGTCCTGTGAGGGAGTGGCAGAGGACGACATTGTTCTCCGCATGCTCCTCTCCCCGACGCCCCTCATGCTCACTCCATCCTCCCACCCTCGCCCATCCTCCCATCCTCGCCCATCCTCGCCCATCCTCGCGCACTCCATCATGCTCTCCTCCCCTCGCCCATCCTCGCCATGTCAGACTCGTCAGTGGAAAGAGTGCGGTCCTGTGAGGGCGTCGCAGAGGGCGACATTGTGCTGCGCAAGCTGCTCTCCCCGACGCCCCTCAAGCTCACTCCCCCCCCCCCCCCCCCTCCAACTCCGTTCCCTTTTCTCACATGGCACGTATCAGACCCCTCAGTGGAGCGGGTGCGCTCCTGTGAGGGAGTGGCTGAGGACGACATTGTGCTGCGCAAGCTGCTCTCCCCGACGCCCTTCAAGCTCACTCCCAAAACGCTCCCCGCCAACCTCGTCCTCTCGTTCGCGCTCGGCCTTTCCGCTGCCAACCTATCAACACTTGCCACGTCATTCAGAAAATTCGTGCTAGAAGGAAGCAGCGGCAGTAGCATTAGCGGTGGCGGAGGAGGAGGGGATGGGAGTGACGGTGGGGGTGAGGGTGGGAGTGAGGGGGGACATAGTGGCGCTCTGCTGGTGTTTTTCGTGCAGGAGTGGCCACAGGGGTGGAAGCACCAACCGGGGGTTGCACTGCAAACATTCTGCTCACCGGAAGAAGGTCGGTCAGTCTCTATTTCCTGTCTTGTCTTGTCGACCCCCACCTCCTCAACCTCCTCTTCTCTTCGTATCATGTCTTTTGTATAAACCCCAAGATTCTTTCCAGTCAAACCAACCCATCTTCCTGGGCAACTCTGGCGACGCTTCGTTTTACCAGCCCAAGTGACAAAACCTGCCACCACATGCCCCCAATCAGCCTGAATTATCGTGCTGTCTCTGTGTTCCGTATCCCCGTCCCGTATCCCACTCTTTCTGTCTTTCGCTGCCGTGGTGCTTATTTTGCCGTTCTGAAACCCTTTGACCTTTCTCACTCGTTTCCAGGCAAGTGGGGCAGCAGCACATGCCATCAACCTGCACCATCAAGCTCATAATGCTTTTCTGGAACCCCTTGACCTGTCCCACCCACCCTTTCCAGGCAAGTGGGCAGCAGCGCATGCCACCAACCTGCGCTATCGTGCCTTCCACCTCTTCCTGCGCTCGCTGGACTTTGAGGGAACCGTCATCCTCGCTGACCCTACAGATGTTCTCTTTCTTGCCAATCCTTTTCCTACACTCAACGACATGTCCTTTCATCTCTACACGGTAAGTTTCCTTATCAATTGTTTTTATCCAAACCTCAAGAACGTCTCTCAATGACATGTCTTATCACTGCATGGTACTATTTCTTTCTGGGAGCATGCCAGGCTGGTGCATTGGGGAAAGGGAAGTGGGTCAGAAGGGCTGCGTATGTCCCCTACACCTGTGTGTATTTGGCTGAATTTGTATGCTACTTGTTCCGTTTTACCCTCTGTGGCTCTTCATGTTCCGTTTCCAGGGCTCAACCACATACCCAACACATGGCATCCGTTTCCTGCCTACAGAGCACAAGCGCCTTGCGGCATGTTATGGCACCCGCCTGGCATTCTCGCTCGCAAACTCACGAATAATCACATCCGGCTTTGTGGCGGGGACCATGAGCCAGGTGCCAGAGTTTTTGATACAGGTCATAGAAGACTTTGAGAGGCTACCAGAAGATTGTATAGCGCTGGAGGGAAGCGATGAAGCTGTTGTGAACCATCTCGTGCGATCAGGTAAGCAGCGTTGCAGCAGTCATCTAAAGCATTTATGCATCGGCTTGCCTTTTTACCAGGCTGTTTCCCTTTACTCTTACCTAATCAATGACTGACTTCTGTGATGCAGGGCGTTTGAAAGAAGGTATAGATTTCTTGAAGATAGAGGATGCACAGCAAGGGAATGTGTTGCATCGGTTTAGTGCAGAAGACTCGTTTGAAGTGAAAGAAGGTGGGCGAGTTGTGAATGCAATGGGAAGGACCATTGTGGCTATCCACGGGTATGACAATTTTATTGACTCCCAATTGCTTGTAAAGGATGTGAATGGGCTGGCAAGCCTACAACCATGATTCACGATTGCCAATAAAAAGTTTCGTCACAAAATTCCAGCAGTGAATAGTTAACAGTTATTTATGACTATTACGAGTGCAATTGAGTGAACGAACGAGAATTGCACTATCGAAGCAATAGTACAATGAGCGAAGGCATGAGCGAAGAATATATAGCGAAACTACAGTAGTAACGGTAATGGAATGTGGTTGTCGCGCGACGGGCCTGGGACTGAGGTTGGGAAAAGGTGTCGAAGCGGAGGCCCGGAGTGCGGGTTACCCGCCGAGCCGTGAGGTCGGGGTGCGATGTGCGAAGGTGGCGGGCGGATTGTCGATGCGAGGGTTGCGAGTGGTAACGGTGCTGACTGTGGTGCTACAGTGATGTACGCGTTGAGCAGGGATGAGAAGTAAGGAAAAGGAATTTTCCTTACACTACTCCCCCCCTAAGGAGGTCCTCCTTACGAAAGTGCGTGTACATCCCTGAAATTTCGGCTGCGAAGATACTCGGTGAGGACGAGGTGGTTTTCGATTCTGTCCAGGGGAACCCAATTGTCTTCGGTGGGTGTACGGTCCTTCCAGCGGAGTAAGAACTCGATCCTTCGGACTCCTCGAGGGTCGCGAACTCTGTGACTCAGGATTTTCTCGGGGGTGATGATTGGTTCAGTTGGTGGTCTTGTCATGCTGGCTGGGCGATTGCGTGGCAGTTGGCTCGTGGACGGGACGTAAGGGCGAAGTAGGCTGACGTGGAATGAGGGGCTGACGTACCAGTCAGCACGGAGGAGGAGGTGGGCGGTGACGGGTGTAAGCATGTGGCTTATGCGAAATGGCCCGCAGTATCGGGGGCGGAGTTTCGGGGTGATGGGCAGTCGGAGGTTCTGAGTGTCAAGTAAAACTAAGTCGTCAGGCTGGCAAGTGACAGGTCTGCGGTGGCGGTCGGCGTTGCGTTTAGCAATGATGTTCGATTTTTTTATTGCGTCTACTGCCCGGGTCCGTGCTGCTTGTAATATTTCGGCGAACTGTTGTGCTCGTGGTACTGGGTTGTCGGGATTCGGGGTCATGGGTACTATCGGGTCTTGTCCGTAGTTTAAATAAAATGGTGACTGTTGGGTCGTGGCGGATGGCGAGTTGATGTACGCGAATTCGATTAGTGGCAGTTGCTGTTCCCACATGGTCGGGTCATCACACGTGGCCCTGATGAGCTGTTCCATGGTCTGATTTGTCCGTTCTGTCTGTCCGTCGGTTTCGGGGTGGTATGATGAACTGAACTGCAGTCGCGTGCCGAACTGCTGCCACAGGTTCCGCCAGAAGTTGCTGGTGAATTTCGTGTCGCGGTCGCTGATGATCGCGGCTGGTATCCCGTGCAGTCGAACGACGGTGGAGATGAAGAGGCGTGCTGTTTCTTCGGCTGTGATTGATTTTTTGCAGGCTGCGAAATGTGCCATTTTTGTCAGTCGGTCGACGACGACCAGGATCGCGTCGTTCCCACTCGCCCCGGCTGGTAACCCCGTGACGAAGTCCATCGTCACCTGCTGCCAAGCACGCTCTGGGGGTGGTATCGGCTGCAACTATCTCGCTGGCCACTGTTGTGATGATTTCATGAGCTGACAAGTGGGACACGATGCCACGTGTCGTTGTACGTCGATCAACATTTCGGGCCAGTAATAATACCGCTGCAGCTGCTGCCGTGTTTTTTCTACTCCGAAATGCCCCGAGGTAACTCCGTCGTGTGCCTCCTGTAACAGTAATTCCTGTAGCAGTGTATACCCAGGCACACAAATGCGGTCAATCCCGGCTTTTCCGTAATAGACTCCCTTGACTGCTGCAAACTGCTGCGAATTTCCTCCTGTGAAGAATGGATCCGTTTGGTACCCGTGGGTGAATAGGCCTGTCAGTAGCGGGCTTGTCTGGGCGAGTAGTATTGCGTGGATCTAGGCAGTGGGGCGGGTCAGTGCGTCGGCGATATTCGAGGCTCCCTTTTTGTAAGTGACCGTGTAGTGAAAGTTGGACTCGAGGAAATCGAGCCAGCGAATCTGTCGTGGATTGAGGTGTGGCTGTGCGCGAAGGTACTGTAGTGATTTATGGTTTGTCCGTACTGTCACGTCCGCGCCATTCAAGTAACAACGCCATACTTTGAACGCGTGCACGATCACAAGCATTTCGCGGTCGTGTATCGGTTGATTTTTCTCGGGCGGGTGCAGTTTTCGTGACTCGTATGCGATAGGTTGTAGGCCATTGCCGAAATCCTGTAGCAGTACGGCTCCGATGGCGATATCGCTTGCGTCGGTAACTACTTCGAATGGGCGGTGTGGGTCGGCGATGCGCAGGACGGGCGGTGAACAGAGAACATTTTTCAGAGCAGAGAAGGCAGCATGCTCTTTCTCCCCCCACGTAAAAGCGACCCCCTTCCGCAGTAAGTCCGTCAGTGGGGCAGTTAACCGTGCCATATCGGGGACGGACCGACGCACATAATTAACGAACCCTAAAAAGCTCTGCAGCTCCGTGATGTTCGTCGAGGGATGCCACGCTTTTACCGTATCCAGCTTCTTTGGGTCGATTTCAACTCCAGCCTCCGAAATAACGTGCCCCAAAAATTCTAACCTATCCTGGAAGAACTCGCACTTGGAACCCTTGGTCAGTAATCTGTGCTCGTCTAAAACCTTAAACACTGCTTCCAGATCTGCTAAGTGCTGCTGCTTATCCCGACTGTACACTAGGATGTCGTCGAGGTAAACTATTACACATTTATCTAAGAGCGGCCTAAATGCCTCGTTCATGGTCATCTGAAAAGTCGCCGGTGCGTTGGTCAGCCCGAATGGCATCACAATGTACTCGAACGACCCGTACGTAGTCCTGAAAGTTGTTTTGGCGCAGTCCGATGGTTCGACCCTAATCTGATGGTAACCTCCCCGTAAATCTATTTTCGAAAAAACCCGTGATGTTCGCAGTTGGTCGATCAGTTCGTCGGCGCGGGGAATGGGGTACCGCGACTTGACTGTTACCGTGTTCGGTGCTCTGTAGTCGATAGACATGCGAAACCCCACGTCTTTTTTTGGCGTGAATAGTATCGGTGCGGTGAACGGTGACGAGCTCGGTCTGATGAATTTTTTCTCTAACAGGTAATCTAGCTGCTTCCTTAGTTCGTCGAGCTCGGGCTATGTCAGTCTGAACTGGCGCTATACGGTTGGCTGTGCCCCCGGTTCTAATTCGATTCGGTGGTCATGTGCTCGCTGAGGTGGCAGTCCTGTCAAACATTATATATGTTATGCTTGTGTAGGCTACAGTGGGTTAGCCTATAGGGGGTACACAATTCTAGGGTTTCCTACTTGTACTCTTTTCACTGCTAGTTCATCCATTCCTGTTTACTTGTTTCACATGGTATAGAGCGGGTCCTTCCTAAGGACCGTTTTTTTTAGGGCCCACCGAAGCGCGCCCCGAGGCGCGCATTTTTTTTCGCGACCCTTCGGGTCGCCATTGCTCTCGCGGCCCCGCTGTCCCTCTGACGCGGCCCCGCCACCCCTGCTTGACGCGGCCCCGCCGCCTCCTCTGCAGCGGCCCCGCCGCCTCCTCTGACGCGGCCCCGCCGCCCGCTGATCGCGGCCCCGCCGCCGGCTCTGACGCGGCCCCGCCGCTGGCTCTGACGCGGCCCCGCCGCCCGCTGATCGCGGCCCGCCGCCGGCCCTGACGCGGCCCCGCCGCCCGCCTCGACGAGGCCCCGCCGCCGGCTCTGACGCGGCCCCACCGCCGCCTCCTGACGCGGCCCCGCCGCCGCCTCCTGATCGCGGCCCCGCCCCGGCTCTCTCGCGGCCTCGCCGCCGGCCCTGACGCGGCCCCGCCCCGGCTCTCACGCGGCCCCGCCGCCGGCTCTCTTGCGGCTCCGCCGCCGGCTCTCTTACGGCCCCGCCGCCGGCCCTGACGCGGCCCCTGCCTCGGCTCTCAAGCGGCCCCGCCGCCGGCTCTCTTGCGGCCCTGCCGCCAGCTCTGAAGCGGCCCCGCCCCGGCTCTCACGCGGCCCCTGCCCCGGCTCTCAAGCAACCCCGCCGCCGGCCCTCGCGCGGCCCTGCCGCCGGCTCTGACGCGGCCCCGCCCCGGTTCTTTCACGCGGCCCTGCCGCCCCACCTGCAGCAGTCGGGCAGCCGTGCAGCCGAGCCGCCCGGGAGCCGAGCCGCCCTACGCTCGAGCCGCCCTGTAGCCGAGCCGCCCTGCCGCCGAGCCGCCCGGGAGCCGAGCCGCCCTGCACCCGAGCCGCCCTGCCGCCGAGCCGCCCGGGAGCCGAGCCGCTGTGCACCCGAGCCGCCCGGTCGCCGAGCCGCCTCTCTGCAGAGCTGCACGACCTGCCCTCCCTGGTGAGCACAGTCCCACTGCCACTGCGTGCTCTTCCCCTACTGTTTCGCTGTCGTCGCCATGGCTACCCCTAGTGTCCTAGCTTTTGACGCTGAGGGTCGCGCCATCGATTTTGAGGTCTGGTTAGACGACCTGCAGCTGTTCTTACAGTGCGACAGGGCAGACGGCCTTTCTCTCTTTGACCTCACCTCTGGCGCCCCTCCTGCTCCTGCTGCTGATGCTGATCCCACTGTGCGCTCTCAGTGGGCCACCCGCGATGCTGCTGCACGTCTTGCTGTGCGTCGCCACCTCCCTACCTCTGAGCGCGCGCACTTTAGTCAGTACAAGAGTGCTCAGACCTTGTACGACGCTGTAGTCGCGCGCTACTCCTCCCCTGCCACTGCTGCACTGAGCCGTCTCATGCTTCCCTACCTCTTTCCTGACCTCTCTGCCTTTCCCACTGTCGCTGACCTCATTACGCACCTCCGCACTAGTGACACTCGCTACCGCGCCGCCCTTCCTGCTGAGTTCTGCGCTAAGAACCCACCCCCCATGTACATCGCTCTCTACTACGTAGTCGCGCGCCTCCCTGACTCCCTTCGCGTCGTCAGGGACCACTTTCTTGCAGTCTGTCCCACCACCCTCACCGTCGACCTCCTCGAGAAGGCCCTCCTCGCAGCGGAGAAGAGCATAGTCGCTGT